AGGATTAAAGCTAAAGTCATGGAACTGGTTGTTGAGCTCTGGGCACTGAGCAGGTGGGAGGACCCTCGTTTCCAGGAAGGCCTCTGGGTCCTGGAGATCCTCTTCTGGACAGATATGAATGGTGGATGGGACACCAGGGAGTGTGAGTCAGGAGGAGTGGGGAAGGAAAGACAATATTTTCAACTTAAAAAAGACCATAGAGATCTCCTATTCTGGAATTTTTCCCGTAGTTTTTGAGCCTCAGAAACTTCTTCAAAGAAAATACTTTGCAAAAACCCCAAACAGATGTTTTCTGATTTACTTCATCCTCTAGTTCAGAAATGCCTTGCCTTGCTTATAGAAGTCATCGTTTTATAGGTCAGAGATGGTGGAATAGGGGCAATTTCATGTGATTAAAACTAATAGAGATGCTTCAGGATACATTTTTATCAGTCTTTACCAGAACTGGCAGCCTCACCACTCACTTTAAATCTAAGGAACCACAAAGTCTGCACTGGACTCACTGTCTTTTTCCTTCTGTGAACGTCAAACAAACTTGCAGCCGTGGTCTGGATGGTGGTTTTGCAGTCATTACCAGAACATGATAGAAGGATAAACACAGGCTGCATGGAATATGAGCAGGTGTGCTGAGAATCCACGTTGTCCCAGAGACAAACAGGGAAAATGTGTGTATTCCTGCTGCTCTCATTTCTTTCCCACCTGCAACTATATTTAGAGAGACCTGTTGTTGATAATCTGATACATTTCCTCCCAATCCTTTTTCAAAAATAAATAGAAATGCAGTGCTAATATAAGTAAACATATTTTTAACAAAATTAGAGTCACATATACCTATTGATTATAAATTTTTTTTTCACTCAATAGTATATTGTGACTGGTGTGGGTTGCCATGCCCTCCTCTAGGGGATCTTCCTAACCCAGAGATCAAATCTGCATTTCTTGTTTCCTGCATTGGCAGGCAGGCTCTTTACAAGTAGCACCACCTGGAAACCCCATATTGTGACTATATGTTTATATCAGCAAATATACCTCTAGCATCAATACTCTCAATTACTGTGCAATGATACATTGTATAGTATAAGTAATAAACTATCTAGCCATATGCTAATTGATGTACATTAAGTTATGACCAACCTAGATAGCATATTAAAAAGCAGAGACATTACTTTGCCAACAAAGGTCTGTCTGGTCAAGGCTATGGTTTTTCATGTATGGATGTGAGAGTTGGACTGTGAAGAAAGCTGAGCACTGAAAAATTGATGCTTTTGAACTGTGGTGTTGGAGAAGACTCTTGAGAGTCCCTTGGACTGCAAGGAGATCCAACCAGTCCATCCTAAAGGAGATAAGTCCTGGGTGTTCATTGGAGGGACTGATGCTGAAGCTGAAACTCCAATACTTTGGCCACCTCATGTGAAGAGTTGACTTGTTGGAAAAGACCCTGATGCTGGGAGGGATTGGGGACAGGAGGAGAAGGGGACATCAGAGGATGAGATGGCTGGATGGCATCACCGACTCGATAGGCATGAGTTTGAGTAAACTCCAGGAGTTTGTAAGGGACAGGGAGGCCTGGCGTGCTGCGATTCATGGGGTCTCAAAGAGTTGGACACGACTGAGCGACTGAACCGAACTGAACTGAACTGAAGGCTTTTTTCCCCTTTTTGTTATAAACATCATGTTGATAAAAAGTTCTTATATACATATCTATGCTTATTTGCCCAATTATTTCTTTATAAAAGTGGAATTGTTGACTCAAAGCAGTATACACTAGTGTGGACACTGTTGGTTAGCTGACCAAAGCCCCATGCACAGTCCCAATTCCTATCACACTGTATACTCAATATGGCTTTTATTTTCTGTATCTGATGGCATCTGGGGTCTTGCTGATTTTGGAAAGACTGCCCTCCCCTTCCAGAGTTCAGTTCCATTCAGTTCAGTTGCTCAGTCGTGTCCAACTCTTTGCCACCCTATCAACTGTAGCATCCCAGGCTTCCCTGTCCATCACCAACTCCCAGAGCTTACTTAAACCCATGTCCATTGAGTTGGTGATACCATCCAACCATCTCACCCTGTGCCACCCCCTTTTCCTCCTGCCTTCAATCTTTCCCAGCATCAGGGTCTTTTCCAATGAGTCAGTTCTTCACATCAGATGGCCAAAGTATTGGAGTTTCAGCGTCAGCATCAGTCCTTCCAATGAATATTCAGGACTGATTTTCTTTAGGATGGACTGGTTGTATCTCCTTGCAGTCCAAGAGATTCTTAACAGTCTTCTACAAACCACAGTTCAACAGCATCAATTCTTCGGTGCTCAGCTTTCTTCATAGTCCAACTCTCACATCCGTTAGCTACTTCTTAAGGATAGTATTCACTTCTTAATGACAGTAAAGGATTCACCAGCAAAGCCAATTTTTAAATAGGAGCCAATCCACCCAGAGCTCACACCCCACCACCTCTTTATTGGGCTCTCTCACTTGGAGACCCTGTCCACCTACCCTAATACCCGAAGGCCAGGTACCAGGCAACCTGGGACAGCCCCTGGGTCGTAGAGTCTACTAAGCTTATTCAAATGCTTATCTAAGCCGCTGACCTGGCCTCAGCCATTCCCTCCCGTGCAGATTACAGCCACACTCACATGTCCCCCTTTGTCACCCCGCCTCCTGACCGACCCTTGTTCTTCCCCATGTAGCCTGTCCCTTTCTCTCAGGGACTATGGTTTAGTCTTTTCAATGACAATCATCTCCTGATCCTGTTGACCTTAATTTTCTATTAATATGAGCATGTGCGCTCAGTCATGTCAGCTGAGCCTATGAACTGTGAGCCTATGAACTGTAGCCCACCAGGCTTCTCTGGCCATGGGATTCTCCAGGCAAGAATACTGGAGTGGGTTGCCATGCCCTCCTCCCGGAGATATTCCCAACCCAAGGATTGAACCCAGGTCTCCTGCCTCTCCTGTATTGGCAGGCAGTTTTTTCACCACTGAGCCACCTGGGAAGTCCTTCTGTTAATACACTACATTTTAAAACACATCGGCAGGGGCATGAAGCACAGGCCTGTCCACCTCTGTTTCTTTTGTGGCCAGACAGAAAGTGCTTAGGCCTGGCAAGCTACTTATTTCAGAGTGACTCTTCTGTGGTAACAGGGGGATAGCTTGGGCCCAGCACTGACGTCTAACAGAACAGACTCATCAGTAGCCCCATGCCCACCACCTTCTCTGGTTACATCTCCATCTGCTGCTCCCTCGAAGGGAAGGTGGATGATCTGGATGATACCCTCTCCTGCCACATCTTGCCAGCTGGCTTTCCAAACACAGGTATGAACTCCAGGTGGGCAGGCTTCTTGAACCTGTGCCTTGATGTACTTCCAAATGCATGGCTTAGCTATACGGGCATGGACAGAAGTCAGAATGTGAACTTCTGTATTAGAATGTATTAGACCAAACAAGTTGGTGCTATTGGAAACAGGGCAGAAAAAATTTTAAATCACAGACATCGGAGTTAAACAACCTGAATTTGAATCCAGTTATGTTATTTGTGAACTTTGGAAAATTTCTTAGACTCATTGAAGGTCAAGTCCTTCATCTCTAAAGTGGAAGAAAAATAACCTATCTTAAAAGATTGTTATTAGATTCAAATGAAATCATACATATAAAGCACTCTATTAGTTAGAATTCTTTCAGTTGCAATTTACATAAATTAAGCCCTTTCCCAAAAAAGCTGATTAATTAATCACATAACCTGGAAGTCCAGAGTTGTTAGTTTCAGGCAGCATTGGATCCAGGGGCTCTAAGGGCATGACTGGGACTCAGCCTTTCTCTCTGCTGCCCTTTGCAGAGAGACTTTCTGCATATAGTGCCTAACTGCCTTTGGAGACCAACAAGCCTTCATCGTCCCTATTGCTTCTGATCCCAGAAGAGAAAGGATGATTTACCTACCTGGGTTTCAGTAGGAATCCTGGGAAGTTCTCTGATTGGTCCAGCTTGACTCATGTGTCAATCGTCAATCAATCAACTCTGTGGTCAAGACCAGCCACATGCCTGGCCCAGGTAGGAATCAGGGGAGTAACACCAGAAGGGGACTGAGTGATTGCATGAAAGTGGGGATGCTGAGGCCAACAGCCCTTGTCCATTACATGTTTTGGCAGAAATCAAAGCTGAGTTTACAAAGTGACACGCTTTGGGGGAACTCTGGCCTGTAGACATGCTCTGTGTGACTCACACAGAGTTGTCAGCAACGGATATTAACTTACCACATTAAACATTTCTGTGGGAAGTATAAATTATCACAGCTCTCATGAAGGGCAATGCAGCAATAACTATCTAAATTAAAATGTACATGCTTTTGACCCAGCAATTCCACTTCTAGGAATGTACCCTACAATTCATTCACACACATATAGTTCTGGGAAATGACTACATAGAAAGTTGTGAGTACAGTTTGTAAGAGCAAAAGACTGGAAATCACCTAAATGCCCATCAACAGAGGATGAGTTGAAGGAAGCATGATGGACTGGTTCAAAAGAATTTTTAAAAAAAGAAAACCTGAAAAAAAATATCCTGATGAATTGATATGGACCAACTCCCAAAATATTTCGTTGAGTGAAAAAATAAAGTTCAGCACAGGGCATATAGCATGATATAGCATGGCCCAGTTTTTTTGTGTATGTGAGTGCATGCGTTTGTGTGTGTGTTTGCTTTCGTGTGCTGGGAAGGATTCAGGAGAAACTGGTAACTGTGGTTATCTGTGTGGGGAGAGAGCTGAAGGAGCAGGTCTGGAGGATAATGTGAAAGGTCAGCTTTTCACTGAATATTGCAGTATTTGATTAGCGCCTACTTACACTATGTTTTTGAATCATGTGAATATATTACCTATTTTAAAGTAAAGTAAAAACATTATTATCCAAATAAGGTAATGTTAAGTACCTTGTGTGGTCAAGGTTTATATTTGGACTTCATACACAGCCTGGAATCTCAAAGGAAAAGATCTCAACACTTTTATTTCTTTGGGTTTTTCTCCACATTGCTAACCACCTAGATGTTTAAGAAACACAGGATGGTTTCCATGGGATGAAGTGAATCAGGGAAGGCTTCCTGACAGAAATTTCCAGCAGGCTCTTGAAAGATGAATAAGTGCTGAGGGTGTGCAGAAGGAGGTGGGGTTTCCAGGCAGAGGGAACAGCACGTGACTAAAGCCTCTGCATTTGCAGAAAGCATTATGAGGGGGCCAGGCCAAATTCCAAGAAGCTGGAGGAGGACGTGTGCCAGGAGCAGGCAAGACTAGGGAGGTCAGCAGGGTCAGGTCACCACGAAGCACCCAGGGTCCATCCCATAGGCGACGCGACGTCATCGATGTCCCATGTCACAGTGTCCCCATGTCAGCAGGGGTGAAGGAAACCAGGCTGACCAAACCACAGTCCGGCGGCTGATGAGAAGGCCCAACACCCAGGGACCAAAAACGCCCTCTCTTTGGTGGCTTCATCTTCACAGACCTCATTTGCGGCCTTCCAGTTATAGCATTCTGCCTTCAAAAGGAAGAAGCCAATTACCCCTGCCCCTTGCAGCTGGCTGCATTTAACCCTTCTCCTGCCAAGCCCCTGTCTGCAGCCAGTGGAGCATGGTGTCTCCCAGGGCAGAGCCACCCCAGCCCATCCCTTCCTGTTTGCCACCCACAGCATCTTCTGTTTCTGGAAGGCACCAAATTTTGTAGCAAAGTTGGAAAGAAACCAGCTGTCCTGGAGCCTCACCCTTGGACCCAAGGCTCTCCTTGCCCTCCTCCACCTCCCTTCCCAGACCTCTTTTCTCGAAGATTCTGTCTACTCTTCCCATCATATCTAGTCCCAGACATGAATTACCCTTGACTGCAAGGGAGACTGGGACAGCCAGATGCCCTGTCTGCCCTGATGTCCCACCAAGGGGCCAGGAACTAAAAACTCCGGTGAGAGGCGCTCTGTCCAGGGAGCATGTGCTGAGAAGGGGCGGCAGGTGGAGGGAGTGGGGATTCAGAAAAGGCCTCAGGACCCCTGCAAGCCCACCTCCCACACTGACTTCTGCTCAGCACTGAGCAAGTCCAGTCTGAAGCTGGGGATTTTGATGTTCTACAAGTTCAACCTGAAAGAAAGACTTAACAAAATACTTTCTCACTTTTAGAAAATTACATATGTAGTTCATAGTTCTTACTGATTATTTTTTAAATCAGAATATAGAAGTAAGCAAAAGAGAGAAGGGGAATATAAAACTTGTGAACCCATTATCCTAAGACATTGATATTTATTGTTGTCTTTCAGTCACACAGTTGTGTCTGACTTTTTGCAACCCCATGAACTACAGCACGCCAGGCCTCCCTGTCCCTCACCATCTCCTGAAGTTTGCCCAAGTTCATGTCCATTGCATCAGTGATGCCATCCAGCCATCTCATCCTCTGATGCCTTCTGCTCCTTCTGCCTTCAACCTTTCCCAGCATCAGGGACTTTTCCAAGGAGTCAGCTGTTCACATCAGATGACCAAAACACTAGAGTTTCAGCTTCAGCATCAGTTCTTCCAACGAGCATTCAGGGTTGATTTCCCTTAAGATTGACTGGTTTTATCTCCTTGCTGTCCAAGGGACTCTCAGGAGTCTTCTCCGGCACCACAGTTCAAAGGCATCAATTCTTCAGCGCTCCACCTTCTTTACAGTCCAGCTCTTACAACCATACATGGCCACTGGGAAGACCATTACCTTGACTATATGGTCCTTTGTTGGCAGAGGAATATCTCTGCTTTACAACACACTGTCTAGATTTGTCATAACGTTCATGCCAAGAAACAAGCGTCTTCTGATTTCATGGCTGCAGTCACCATCCGCAGCGATTTTAGAGCCAAGAAGTGGAAATCTGTCACTCTTTCCACCTCCCCTGTCCCCCTCCCCCCGCCCCCTCCCCCCGCCATTTGCCATGAGGTAATGGGGCCGGATGCCATGATCCTAGATTTTTTAACATTTAGCTTTAAGCCAGCTCTGTCATTCTCCTCCTTCACCCTCATCAAGAGGTTCTTCAGTTCCTCTTCACTTTCTGCCATTAGAGTGGTATCATCCATATGTCTGAAGTTGTTGATGTTCCTCCCACCTTTTTGATCCAGCTTGCAACTCATCCAGTCTGGCATTTCTCATGATGTGCTCAGTGTACAGGTTAAATAAACAGGGTGACAGCAGACAGCCCTGACATGCTCCCTTTTCAATCTTGAACCAATCAGTTTGATATTTATTTTTTTGGTATAAATCCCTAAGTTGCATTGTTTTGTTTTTCAAAAAATAGAATCATATGGTATATTCTCCTTTATAACCTGATTTTCCACTTAGCAAATCATAACCATCTTTCCACAATAGTAGATATTCTTCTACAACATTATCTTTAATTAGCTTCACAGGACCCCACTGCTTAGATGTGCCACAGTGTGACCAGCAGCCCCCCATTATGATTTTATCCCAATTTTTTGCACTTAAAATCAGTACTCCAGTGAATATTTGTATATATGTACCTTTTATGCTTGCTCGGTTACTTCCTCTATGATCAACTTCTGGAAGGAAAATTTCTGAAGGAAGGGCTTCTGCTCTTTTAGGCATTTGAGTTCTCCTGCCAAATGATAGAAATAAAGTTTATGAACAGAATTAAATCCCATCCCAGAAGCTTGTCAAAGGTATGGGTCCCCTGGATTGACCACACTTATCCTGGGGACGGGAGGTGACCAGGGCCAGCAGAGCAGCCTCAAGGAGGGACAGAGAGCCACAGAGAACACATAAATTTTTTAAAAATTTATTGGGATATAATTGTTTTACATCGTGTTAGTTTCTGCTGCACAACATCGTGAATGAGCCATGTGCATGTTAAGTCACTCAGTCCTGTCCAACTCTTTGTAACCCTATGGACTGCTGTCTGCCAGACTCCTCTGTCTGGGATTCTCCAGGCAAGAAAACTGGAGTGGGTTGCTATGCCCTTCGCCAGGGGTTCTTCCCGACCTAGGGACTGAACCCATGTCTCTCGTCTCCTGCATTGGCAGGTGGGTTTTTCACCACCTGGGAATCAGTCATATGTGTATATATGTGCCCTCCCTCTTGATGCTCCCTCTCACCCCCCCACTCTACCCCACTAGGTTATCACGGAGCACTGAACTGGGCTCCCTGGAGCACAAGAATTAAGCCATAGAAGGAACCTAGCCCATTAGACCAAGAGCTTCATTTTCACCATGGTGATGCTTATGTGCTAAAGCACTGCTTCAGTCCTCATAAGTCCCCAAGGAGGTAGAACCTCTGTATCCAGTTGAGGAAACTGAGGCTCAGATGAGTTTGAATGTCTGCTCAGTGTCATGAAGCTGGCAAGAGAAATGCCAGATCCGCAGGAAGCCATCTGGTCCTGCCACATTCTGAAAAGAAGAGGGTGCTGCCTGCAGCACAGCCCTTCCCGATCCCCTACCTACCACTCCCCGGGTCACTGGCATAAACCCAGGCCACTCAGAGCCAAGGGCAAGTTCCCAGTTACTTCCTTACTGCAGCTCTCTGGGAAAAGTTGGCTTGAAGGGCTGGAATTCAAATTCAAACCATTTTCACATGCAGTTGGTGGTGAGAGTGCAGACATTTGGGTCCTTAGACTCATAGATCCCCATCAAGTGCCTGGAACATGCCTCAGTCCCCAGCTAGAAACAATGGCAGATGTAGAAGAGTTTTCATACTCAGGTTTCCAACAGAGGCTGGGAGGTCATGAGATGTGTGGGCTGCTCCTCTCACCCTTGGACAAGAATCAGCATCGGTTTTGATATTATGATTGCCATCTGCTGTGCTGTGCTATGTTCAGTCATGTCCGACTCTTTTCAACCCCATGGACTGTAGCCCACCAGGCTCCTCTGTCCCTGGAATTCTCCAGGCAAGAATACTGGAGCAAGTTGCCATTTTCTTCTCCAGGGGATCTTCCCAACCCAGGGATCGAACCCATGTCTCTTGCATCTCCTGCATTGCAGATGGATTCTTTAGCACTGAGCCACCAGAATGATTGAAACCAACTAAATAAACAACAGTATCTGAGAAGCCCACATCAGTTTTTCCCTGCACTTTGCATGCTTTTCCCTGTCCTTCTCACATTAAGAATCTGATCCCCATGTAGAAACATAGCCTCTATTGTTGAAAGGTTGTTCCACTTGAGATGTAGCTTCCAGTTACAGGCAGAAATCCATGGGCAGCCTCTGCCTAGGAGAAATATTCTTGTCACATAAGAATCCCTCTATTAATCAAAAATCATATTATGGCTTCGAGAATGAAGTTTCCTTTACTACTCTTTAATAATAAGCCCGAGATAAGATAAAATTGGTAATTGCACGTTCTCTTCTGATGGGAGATAATACAAAAGTGGTATAGAAATTTGACTTAAAAGAGTATATTCACTAGGCTAATAGGCTTCCATTATGTGTTCTTTACTCATTCATTCATTACGATTTTGCCACGTATGGAAAACTTTAATTGGAAGTTACTTATTACATTGTTCCTAAATGTTAGCAGCAGAGGAAAGTTTTCGATAATCAAAGAAAGTTGAATGCAATAGAAGCCCAGGATTTTCTAGACAGTGAATCCAGTAAAAGTAGATCGCCTGTACCAAGCATGGGTGAGGGCTTTCTCCTCAACAGATGACCTTCAAATCAGAGATTAAGGACCAACTTCATGTTGACAAAGCTCAGATATTTTTCAGTGAACGTACAGCAAATGGATTCTAAATCATATATTGACATGTGCATTTTATTTCATGTATGACCCATATTTCAGAAGGCAGCTGTCCCTCAGCTACAGTCCACAGTCAAGGGAGAGCAATCAGATGCAAGGAAATCCTATAGGTTTGTTTTTTTGTGCGATTTTTTTCCAGCCTACAGGTTATGCCTTAATACCTATGAATCAATTAAATCATATTTACATTTCTGACACCAGCATGATGAGCTCAAGGAGCACTATCACAAGGGGATATTCCTGATCGAGAGGCAAAGCCCTACAAACACCTAGCATAACTGGTGTAACCGAAGTAGGAAGTGTGGTTCACCAGGCATTCTGTGGTTCCCATCAGTCCAGCTGGGGTTTGGTCCTTCCCTGGATCATATCTCACTGGTATGGACTCAGCACCAGGGGGTGTCTGTATCCAGAGAGCTTTGTGAATGGTGTTTCCCTGGGCCTCACTTACACCACAAAACAGAAGAGTTGAAGCAGATTCGTTTGTCCAAATCGTTCTTTAGCTTTGATTTCTAACCATAAAATAAGGATGTGTTCATTTGCATTTGGAAGTATCTATGAGCCATACTCAATCCAGATCTACAAGGAAGGCTGGCAGAGGTTTACCATCATCATCGTGATCACCATCACCATCTTAGAGATGCCAGAGCCAGAGGATTCTGCTCGCACCCAGCACCACCCAGCTGGTAAGTGCTAAATTTTGTCAGGAGCCCAATCTTCTGACCCCTCCTCCCTCACCCCAGGGCTGCCAACCTCTTCAGAGGGACCCAGGTGGAAAGCCCTCACTAAATGAGCAGATAATCCACTTAGGGCTAAACGGAAATTTGTAAATCAACTCCTCCCTTCAGATCTGGCATGTAACATTTATAGAGCTTGGATCCTTCCTCAGAGAAGAGTCTCGTGAAAAATACTCTCTGTGGTTAAGCTTGTGTCTAAGCTCTCCCTTCCCTTAGAGGGCTCTTTAATGAAACGTCAGGAGATTGATAAAACGAGGTGGCGGCCACCCCAGGACACATTTTTATGGAGGCTCCTCCGTCTCTCTTCCCCAAACCACCACCCTTAACTAGGAACACATGAGGACAGCACCCAGCCTTAGCACTGACAGGTGAAAACCCACACCAATTTAGAAAAAGCATCCCAGCGCAGGTCAGCAGAGCATGATTCCTGGGAGCTTCTGGGGGGGAATCTCACCTAAAGCAAACTTAAGGGACTTCTCTGGTGGTGCAGAGGTCGGGAATTCTCCTGCCAATGCAGGGGATATGGGTTTGATCCCTGTCCTGGGAAGAACCACATGCCACAGAGCAACTAAGCCTGTGCACCACAGTGAAGACTCAGTGCAGTCAAAAATAAAATAATTTTTTTTTAAAGGCAAACCTAAGGTGCTGTGGAGGTTCTTCCAGCTGCTAGCAGAGGCAGTGGAAATCAACAAGCTTTAGCCAGAGCTCCTGGGATATTGTGGCTTCTGTCACTTATTGACTCAATGAAGTTGAGTATGCTCCTTGCATCAATCAAAGAAACCGGCACATACATAAAGGAGCTCACAGTCTGGGGTTGAAGGGGGGAAGGGGATGGCAGAAAAGTCACTAGAAGATTATAGAATAATCAGTGTGAGGAGTCACACTCCAAATGGGATAGGAAGAGACGCCAGAAGGGCAGCCCTCATCCAGATTGTAGGGTAGGGAGGTAGGAGAGCCTTATCCATGGGGTAGTGCTTGAGCTGAATTCTGAATGATGGGTAGGGGCTATCCAGATGGTCAAATGAAGAAAGGGTGTTCTAGCAGGGGCACAACACAGAAGCTAGAAGAACATGAGGCAGATATCATGGGAATGGGAAGGCACTGAAAAACTCGCCCGAGATCTTCAGCAACTCCAGAAGCCCATCCTCCGACCGGCAGTGTACTCCAGAATCTCATGAATGTTCACTGAACATGACCAGATATCACCAGAGCCCCAGGCACTCAGACGCTGGGCAGCCAGAGCCTGGTTCAAGATTTGACACCAGAGGAAGGTCCACGTGGAGCCCAGACTTGCCTGGGTCATGCCGGAGGTCCCCAGAGAACTTGCTGAAGTTCTCTTTTCCTCAGTTTCCTCATCTTGCAAATTGGATTAGTAATACCTTCTCTGAAAAGTTTTCCTGAACATTTAAAATAATGCCTACGGCAATACCTAGAAGAAAGGTGACAACCCCATGCAGTCATTTCATTTCTGTTGTTGTTATGGGGCATCTTGACTGGACTCGGGACGATCCTGGAGCCACAGACAGCGCCATCCATTCCACACTCGCCTGCTGAGTCTGAGTTAATGGCAGGTCTATGGGCTGACAGTCTTCATACCTCCAGAGACCCACAGGTTACACTCTGCCAACAACAGGGCTTAGCTCTGCTTCAAAGCCCACAGAATCCAGTTACCACCATTTTTCTCTCCTTGTGCTTTTAAAGAACACACCCTCCATTATTAGTTGAAGTCAAAAGAGAATTGCAAAGGTAAGTCTGTTGGAGGGAAGAACAATGTCACATTCTCAAGACAAACAGAAATGTCGTCGGAGTGTCTACCATTTGGATTGGCAGCACCACCTCCCTGCTGCCCGAAGATCTGAATTGGTAGTTTTCTTTCTCCATCTTTTCTCCCCCTCATGTGATTCCACTCTTACCAATCAATTTTGGTGACTCTTTTGAGGTAAGAAAATTAACTTTATTACAGGGATGATTGATCATGCCCAGTTTCACTGACTCTCCACCGCTATCCAATAGATTCTGGCATTAACTCAAAATGAGCCCAGAGGGCCCCGTATCCTAGGAAAGCCCTCAGCTCCAGGCAACCCAGGACCATTGGGCAGCCTTGCCTTGTCCTTATGAATCCCAACTCCACCATGCAATGTGACCTTGGGCAAATTACGGACCCTCTCTCAGCCTTCATTCCTCATCTGTAAAACAGTGATACTGTACCTGTTACACAGTTGTGTGTGCCTGTCATACAGTGGACAATAAGTGAAGGACAGCTAATTTCTATTTCTAATATCATTATTCTTCTCTTCTTGACTCTGAAGGGATGTTGCTGAGTACCTTTGCCATCCCCATGAAGAGGCCACGCAGAGTCTAAGTCCTAAGCATGTGTTGGCTCCAGCCCCCCTTACCGGAACAGCAGCCTTCTATTCCATGTCGCTATCAAACTATTGTGCCTCTCCTGCCAAAACCTGCAGAAGAAACACCCTCCTCCAGGAAGTCTTCCAAGGCGGACTCTGTGTCCAATCTCATTCTTTTTTGGTCTCCCAGCAGGAAAAAGAAAACACACTCAGATGAGATACCAAGGAGGATTTTTATAGAGGGACCATTTTTAGGAATATGAATAGGACCTAAAGAACCACCACTGGAAATCAAAGTCCCAAAGAGCAGCGGCAGCAGGAAGTTGTATCCACCCCTTGGCCTGAAGGGAATGGTGTTCTTGGAGCATTGTGAGAGCTCAAGCCAGGCTGGAATTGGCCAAACCCAGAAGCCAGAGGGCAAGGGGGCCTGGGAGATGCAGTACATACATGTCGGCTGTGGCCACAGAGAGCAGGACAGGGAAGCAAAAGGAAGGGGCAGGGGCCAAAATGAAGACTAAAGCATACCCTGTTAGTCCAACTCCTCCGCTGGCTCTCCAAACAGGGTAACTGGGGAGCAATCTGCTATTTGAGAGACATACGTTTTCCATCTGAGGATCTGTGTTGAAGGCTATGGTGTCACACCCCACGATGTTCCCACAAACATTCAGCCGCATCTTCTCCCTCTGGATTTCCCTCTGAGGCAGAGAACTTGTCACTTATTGAGCACCTACCATCAGGCAGTGGGCCCCGTTTGACCTGCACAACAATCCTGAAAGGGCTCCTGGTTTGAGGTGAGGAAACTGAGGCTCGTTGAAGCTGAGCCTCGTCCAGGGTCACTCAGCTAGAACTGTATCCAACTCTGGCTGTGAAATCATCAATTATGTCACCAGACTCCATGGTTTTCATGAAAGATTGCCCAGCCTGCCTCCCTGTACACTGGCCAGCTGCCCACAGGCCTTATTCAGGCTTTTATCTATCTACTACAGGGTTGTTTGATGGGAACCACTCAACCCTCACATCTGAGCCCAATGTTAGATGCACCCAAACTGACAAGCACTCGGTGTGGCTGTTTGTTCTATTATCACCTCCCCGAATAGTATGGAAATCAACCCAGTGGCATGTCCTTCACCTGAAACTTACCTTCCATAGGTGAGATGCCAGAACGAAGCCAAGATAAGCTCCATCCTGGCCTGCAAAGGGAGAGAGGGGACTTCTGCCACCCACTGTGATCCACCACATGCGGAACTCCTACATAAGAAAGGGGATTAAGAGTCGGGTGATCGAAAGTCATGGACAAATGTCCACTACTGGGTAATTTAAAGTCTTTTAAAAATATGCAAGATTCTCATCTCCATAGAAGCTTTTGGACGTAATTCTGCCTGAACTGGGGAGAGGAGAGGAGATGGGCCAGAGTCCCTCCAGCTTTCATTCTGAGCTCTGTAGTGAGCAAGCTCAGTGTTGGCATGAAGAGGCAATGGCTTTCTCTTTTCAAGAGGAACACTGGACAACCTTGAAAAGCTGTGCCCTCCATCCCCCTGCCAGTAAACACAGGCACTGGGGCTTCCTGGTCCCCGTTCCAAGACCCTTGCCTGTCTCCTTCTATCTAGCCTCCATCTCTCCTGCTGCAGGACCGGCAGCCCATTCCTCTATTCCCAACCTCGTGGAGATGGAGAACAGCTGGGCCTTGATCCTCCGGAGAATAACTTTTCAGAGATTTGTTTGAGTGGAAACACCAGGGTCCTGAGGAATTTTCCCCTTTGTTTGAAAACGAATGACTTCCTCCTCCTGCTCTGAGGGGCTTCCACCTGAGTTGTGGTAACTTCAAAGGCTCCCCGCGTTCCTGCCAAAGAGGCCAGAGGCTCTCTGGGGCCTCCTCCCGCTGCTTCTGCCCGAGGTCCTGCGGCCTCTGCCTCGAGCCCACCCCTCAGCAGCCTGAATCAGGGCCCCGTGCATGCTTGTGATGGGCTAGATGTCTGCATCTGCACAGATGTGTACCGAGGCTTGTGTTTGGGAGTGCGTGTGTGAATCCAAGATGCATTGTTCTCTTTGCCCGTTAAGAACCAACCTCAGAGAGCAGCGAGACAGGAGGGGAGACAGCTTTCAGCAGAGATTGCTGAGTTTCAGTTTGTAATAAGTATTTATGACCAAGTTACAACAAGCCCTGAAAAAGAAGCTTTTCATGGAAGCGCAGATACTTACTGCTGTGTTAATTACAAGCCTCTACTGGTCCTTCCAATATATGCTTTATGTTCTTTTTTAACACTTTCCAGTGATTCTTTTCTTCCTTTTTTGAAAACCATGCCCAAGGAACAGCTGTTTTCTATATGTAGCTGGGCCCTGCAACAGACAACTGTTTCTCTTTTAGCAACTTTGTCAAGCTTATTGTGAGATTAATCTGACTGCAGGTGTCAGGTAAAAGCAGAACTCTGTTTGCAAAGACCAAGAACCCTGTGGAGTGTGAGCAGGGAGGCCCAGGAGCCAGAAGACACATTGGTCAGAACTCAGGAAGCCCAAGAACCTGCAAGCCAGGCCTGGGATGGCCACATCCACCCTTGCCTGGCTGCAGGGCGACACCACACTTCATCAGGGACGCCTGGGTCCTGGAGAAAGATTCTTTGCAAGCTGAAGAGCAGATTGAAGAGCAGAGCCTTTTAATTGCCATGTCCCCAGTGACATAAAATCTCACAAACAACCTCCATAAATCACACCCTGATAGCTACCGGGCTTGTCCAACGCTAAACACAAGTGGACTCTTCTTTTAAGTAGAGTCTTAAGTTGTAGGCAGCACCATCACCCTTCAGCAAACATCTGCAGTTCATCTTATCGTTTGAAGAAATATATGAGTTTCACTGTCTTTTTTTTTTCTTTAAGCCTTTTGCAGCTTCTGGTCCTTGATTTCTTTGAAGACCATCTGCTCCATATAAAACTGGGGGTGGGGGGCATGCCGTGCAAAGGGAACATTTGGGAGCTATACAGGCTGTGAGAAAATGCAAACACTGCAAGAACTGTGTCGGCATCACTGGACAGAACACTTGTCCTCCCGAAACCCCAGACCCCCAGTGAGTGCTGGACTTGGGGCCTCACTGCTGGCTCTGGCTGACGTGTGTTCTGGTTCTGCTTCGTGGCCCAAATTAAAAGCCCAGGGCTGGTGATTTTGAGAAACCTCAAACCTGGAAAATACATGCTGGGGTTGACCTCCCACACTCCCCTAAAAATAGCCTGTGAACAGCAGGATGCAAAGAGGGACCCGGGTGCCTTGGGTGATGTTTCTCGCAAGCGTAGCAACAAAGGCCCGGCTCGGGAGTGTATGTCATGGCATGATGTTACCACAGGGGGGTAGAAGTCACGCACTTGGCCGTCCTCTCGGAAAAGCAGAGGGGAAGAGAAACCAAGCTCTCCAAAGAATGGCAGCAATTCTTCCTGTCCTGCAGCCCGTCCCTCCCCCCAACCTCCGCCCCAACAGAGGTGTCGGAACTGAAGCTGGCCTCTCGGAGGCACCAGATGTTGAAACATTTGACCCCTGAAACCATCGCCACCCCCGGCCAAGCCCGGCTGGGTTTCCTCGGCCCTAACGTGGCCCAGGCAGCCTGCATTCTCAAGTTCCAGGAGTACCGCTCCACTTGCCAGGAAATGAATTTAAAGGATGCTTTAGAAAACCAGAGCAGTGCCTGTTTTGCCATGGAAGCAAAGCTAAAACAGTGATGATGACGGAGATTATAACACTAGCTCTTCCTTCACCCACACAAGTTTCTTTTCTTTTTATGTGTTGACCAGAGAGGTTCTTACAAATTCCAAAGCTTCCAACAGCCAGTTTCATTTTCCCATCTGCCCCACAAGCTCCAAAATGCTTTAGTTAAACTGATGAAAGCATTTACAGTTAGCATCCTTGGTATTAGCAGTATTAGTTTTATCACTAGAATTTTCAGAAAAGTTTTGCGAAGTTCAAACTCAGTCCTTTGTAAAAACAGGGGTCCTCCTGTTTTTACTTCTCGCTGGAAAGACAACCACACACACACACACACAAAGATTTTAGGTAATGAAACAAGCCACAGTTTTTTAAGGTTCATTTGAGCCTTTGCCCCTGAAAAGATCGACTCAAGCATCACTGGTAATTTTGTGGGTTGTCATGGAAGCCCTTCACTGGCTAAGCGTTCAGCGTCCAGCGGGATACCCTGGCCAGGTCTGACTTTGCCCACGCCTAGAAGGCAGTGGAGAGCCAGCATCATGTAGCACGGGGCTCTCACTGTTCCCGCCCCTCCTCCGAACAAGTCCAGTGGAAAGCCCAAAGCCAGTAAGCAGGAAGACGCCTTTAAACAACAGCACAGATTTACCCAACTCTGTCAAGCCTGCAGATTTACGGGACAGAGGAAATTTTACCCGAAGCGGGGGAAAAAAAAAACTTTTTGTGTCAATCACCTCCTACAAACTCAGAAAATAAACTTGCTTGCAGTTGTTAGCCACTTGGTGGAGATGGCAGAGAAGCCGCTTTAAACAGTTGATTCAGCACTACAGTGGAGGGCGCAGGAGTTGCGGTAAGCCTTCCTCCCCCGCCCCGGGTCAGCGCCGCTCTCCTCTCTGAAGGCTGCCTCCGAAACGCTCAAGGTGCGCGGTGCGCGCGGAGCACTTTTATGTAGAAGCGCCTGCATCCGAGGTCTGTAGCGCTACCCTCTTTGACAGTTCCAGATGTTGTGAAGATGAAATACCTCCTGCTTGAGGAACTATGCAACTAGGAGCCCCGAAAGGTGTTCTGAATGAAGTTTAAAAAGGCATCCATCTTAAAATAATTTCAGCATCTCACTCGTCTATTTATAAGCACTGTAGGTGGCTTGGTTTTTTGTTTGTTTGTTTTTACCCTCTCAGAGTATTTTAAGAGACTTGCTTTTACATCAGGATATTTTAACCAATGACACTTCAAACTTCTGTCCTGCTTCTTTCTCCACCTGGGACCACCCGTTCAATCTGCCTTCCAACACTGTGGATATCTCTCTACATCAAGCTTGAGGCAGAAGGGCCTTCTTGTCTTTCCATTGGGTCCATCACTATCAACAGGGCCTGACAGTGGGAGGAAGGTGGAACCGTCCAGGCCTGGATCAAGAAAGATTCATTGGAGAGAAGGCCAGAAAAAGCCCCACTTACCCCTCCAACCTCATAACTCACCACACTGTCAACCTCTGCAAATAGGAAGGAGGCCTGACCTTTATCAGGACTTTGGACTGGTCTCTGAGCTTATGTTTCCCTGGGTAAAAACCTGCTCTGGAGACCACCCTTTAGAAGACCTATCTCACTAGTCCTGGTGCATAGTAATGTTATTCTTGGGTCACTTAACTTCACTCTCAGGAAGAGTCAGGAACAGAGCTAAGTTGTAAATCACAGCCCTCTGGAATGGATTTGTGCAGAATGGACTGACCAGAGCATTCCTGCCTTGCTGGATCACGCATGGTAAAGAGATTATGGAAGGTAAAATTCAGCTGAACATGGGTTACTTTGACTTCCTACATTCTTGGTTGCCTGTCTCTCTATGAAAGGTTAAGACCTAGGAGGGAAATAGCACCCATGCTGTGGAATCGCTCTCACTCCAGGCAACATTTCCTACTCAAATGGTCCATAGGTATGACTGTGCAAGCTCACGCTGAGGAATTTGATCCCATCAGATTGATATTCTTCATCTTGTGGTTTTACTTGGTCCCTCTCACAAAGCCACCAAAACAGAAGGCAGCAAACCCCGAAGCTGAACTTGTAAATCACTGTTCACATGTTTGCCACTTCATGTGGTTGAAATTAGCCTTTTCTTCTCCCTGATGTCATTAGATGAGTCCTAAAATGGCAGTGACATCATCTCAGCTGATCTTCTTGCCTCTTCCCAAAATCCTTCAACCTATTTGGATAATGGTTTCTCAAGCTACAGTCTCTTGACACATTTCATCTTGTGGTCCCAATATCCAATTAAAAAAAAAAAAAAAGATTTTCTCACCCCTTCCTGCTCATTTGACCACATATGTCCTCCAGCCTACTGGAAGAGGGGAATTCTAGAAATGAGAATGATACACACTGTCAGCATCACTGTCCTCTAACCACTGGGAGCCCTCTTGCTTTCTGGAATGTAGGTTTTTCAGAGCTGCTTCCCTGAAAGAACATGGTGGCTGGTACCCGGGTTGTAGAAGCGGGTCAGCCTGTGAAAAGCCCAGGATGCCGTGACAGAGGTGCCGGCACCCCACTCTCGTGTGCACAGAGAGGAGGGGTCTGCCAGC